CCCCCTCTCTCTCTCTCTCTCTCTCTCTCTCTCTCTCTCTCTCTCTCTCTCTCCCAGTATAACAGTATGTACCTGTAGTCGGCAGGAGTGCGCACACATTTCACCAGGCCAGTCCCGGCATAGCAAAAGTCGGGTACTGGCCAAAGCACACCGTCGTTTGCAGTTTGAGTCTCGCCACTGAGATCAGAAGAGAGAAGGTGAACCCTCTCGCTAATACAAGTTTGAACACACACCTATAGGCTAAGGCAAACACGAATGGATCAGGACCATCTTATTAACTCATTGTTGATGTTCATTCTAGTGCCTAGAAAACGTACGCTTAGAGACAACAACAACAAGAAACAAAAACAAAACAAGGAAAAACAGAAAAGCATCACTTTGTCATTCATTCGACATTTTTCAAATCATACTTCATTATCTGAAAATTAAAAAGGCGGGCAACAATACGCATACCTTGAAATGTAATGCACATTCATGATTTTGAATACACTGATGGTTCTGTGAAATGTGGGGGTGAAAAGTGGTGGGGGCTTTGTTGTACATAAAGATGGCGACATAATTAGACTACTTCAAGCACAAGAATGGGGGTAGAGGCAGTGACAAAAGCATTTGAATGGCTAAAAGAGAGCTTGCGTTCTACCAGACATGCTGTCATTGTCACTGACTCTCAAAACATATTGCAGAGAGTCAATAAGTTGATACTGAGAAAAGAGTGGCCTCAAAGCATAGAAGAAACCAGATAGAGAAAGATAACAATGATCTATGCTCCAACTCCAAGCCATACGGGTGGGAAATTAACAAGCAGACAAACTGGCGAGCAATGCCCTGTCAATACTGACATCAAATGGACAAAAATGATGTCGTGAAGGCCCTTACTACCACACTTGAAGATAAAGAGATTGAGCATGACTATGCGCCTATCTTACGACTTGAAGAACTGGGTGTCTTCATAGGAAGTGGCAGAACCAGCATCGTACAGGGGATGGAAAGATGGATTATTAACCAAATGAACACAGGAACGATCAGCAGATGGACTCCGAGGTGGATATTGGAGCGGGGAGCGGAGCACGTATGGCAGTGCCCGGAGTGCTTTGATACTGTTCCCAGGATCAAGTAGTCAAGTAATCAAGTATGATTTTGATTTGAGTTGGCGGTTCGAAATATAATAATAATAATAATAATAATAATAAATGATAAATGACATTTATATAGCGCTCAACCCCGATTAAAGTACACAGGCTCTGAGCGCTTTACAGTACAATACACCAGTAACATAAAACGTTGAGTTCTGACCAAAAGAAAATCTGTCCAAATATTCATCTATTAATTAAAAAATTGAAATGACTTTAGCTGACATTTGAATAAATCAAAGGATTTGAACTCTCTTAAAGTACTTCAGACAACATAGATGAAACTCTCTTAAAAGTACTTCAGACAACAGAGATCAGATGTTACTGCAGACTCCTTGACATTATACAAAGACCACATTTCAAATGCCAAGGTAAGGAACAGAATCACAAACGCAGTGGGGCAGCATGAAGATCTTCTGACCACAGTGAAGAGACGGAAAATAAAATGGTGTGGGCAGGTGGCAAGATCCACAGGACTGGCCAAAACAATCCTACACAAGGAACTGTACAAGGAGGAGAGAAAGCGAGGAAGGCAGAGAAGGAGATGGGAGGACAACATCACATAGTGGACAGGGAAGACGATGGGTGACGATCTGAGGATAGCAGAGGACAGAGAGAAATGGCGAGAGCTGGTTGTCAGATGCAGTTGAGCCCCCACGGTTGTCCCAGCTACGGGATAGTAAAAAAAAAAAAAAGAAGAAGAAGAAGAAGAAGAAGAAGAAGAAGAAGAAGAAGAAGAAGAAGAAAAAAGAAGAAGAAGAAGAAAGTGCTAGGCAAAGCATTCCAGTTCTTGGGGCCTTGATATTCAAATGCCCTTTCCCCCATTGTTTTAAGTTTCATAGATGGTAAAAGAAATTTCTTTTCGTCAGCTGAGGACCTTAAACTGCGAGTTCGAATGTACAGTCTCAACAGATTTGATAAATATGATGACCCATTACTATTCAAGCATTTATTGTAACTTAGGGTGGTCAACTTGTACGCATTTATTTTCTCAACTGGAAGCCAATGCAATGTCCGTAAAAGAGGTGTAGCAGAGTCGTGCTTTCTTTTCCGTAAAACTAAACGTGCAGCATTGTTTTGGACAATTTGAAGTCTTTTCACTTTCTCCAGTGATATTCCTGATAACAAGGAGTTACAATTATCGAGTCTTGATAAAAACTAAGCTAGTTATTAGTAAAACAGTATCCTTAGTATTGATTATATGACGTATTTTACGTATTTGTTTTATTTTTTAAATTTAAGACATGCAGCTAATCAGATGATTTACCTCAACCGACATTGACAAACTGGAATCAAAATAAATGCCAAGATTCTTAACTTTTCTTGAAAATACGATTTCCGCATCACCAATTGTCATGTGAACGTGTTCAACCTCATTAACAGACTTATCATTGCCTGCCAGAATGACTTCTGTTTTATCATCACTCAACATCAATTTGTTTTTGTTCCTCCAGTTTTTCACTGAGGCAATACAGTTTTCAGCACGATGGACAAGTTCATCTAAGTTGGTAAACATTGTTGAATCAGAGAGTCTCTGGTTGAATCATACATTTGGGTATCATCAGCATAGAAATGATACTTATAAATATAAATGGTTGTGTATGAATGGTGAAAAAACTGGACCGAGGACTGAGCCACTGGATGGACTTGTGTCCTCAACAGTGGCGGTTCGTGGTTTATAGAACTGACCGGCCGTCATTCACATCGATTCTTTCTCCCTCCCCCCACCTACTTCCTTCACAATACGCACACACACATACACACACACACACACACACACACACACACACACACACACACACACACACA